CTAGACAGGGTACACTCATCTGGCAGTACACACCCTTCATGTCCTGTGTACAGACCTTGCCTCTGTGACCAAAAAATTACCACACTGTGGTCTTGAATTTTCAAGCCAACAACCTCAGCATACCTGAGTTGGTAAACCTAACCCCCTTCATTGGGTAAATACTCTTTAAATCCCAGGAAAATTTAGAATGAAGTATGGGAATAACAAAATAAGCCAACTCTGTAGTATTAACACCAGGTGATAAGTTCAGAGCAATCTGTGTTTGTTATTTAAAATAGCGTTTATAATTTTTAAGAGAATCAGACATGCTAGTTTTATGCTTTTGAACAAAAAGGTGTGGGATAATTTCATTTGGTTTGAGAATGATGTTGAGATGTTGACTGAAAGTTGATTTACTCTTCAGATTGAATTTTCAACTCACAAGTGGGCTTTAGGTGCTAGCAAGATATGGCCAAGCAGGGCTGTAATTCTGTTCTGTCAGGTATCTGACATGCTAAAAGAGAAAATCAAGTATATCAAATGTATGAAGTATTTATAAAGTATATACATAAGCTCAAAATGCTTAGGGGAATATTAATTAACCATATTTGTAAATGAAACAAATGGTTTAAAGGAGTTTAATCTGTTCAAAATAGCTTAATTGAAGAACAAATGAAAGTTAGTGTTTTATATAAATATTATGATTAATAATGTAGCAAATTCAGCTAAAAATTTAAAGGCTTAAGTAAAACTTTGATTTTGAATTTATAACATGAATATATTAAATCAAGTATTTGTTTAAAACCCACGAAACTGTAAGGAGTGGGTTTTTTTTTGCATGAAACTCCTTCTTTGCCATTAAAAAACCCTCACATTGGGGCTTCTCTGGTGGCGCAGTGGTTGAGAATCTGCCTGCCAATGCAGGGGACACAGGTTCAAGCCCTGGTCCGGGAAGATCCAACATGCCGCGGAGCAACTAGGCCCATGAGCCACAACTACTGAGCCTGCGTGTCTGGAGCCCGTGCTCCACAACAAGAGAGGCTGCGATAGTGAGAGGCCTGCGCACCACCATGAAGAGTGGCCCCTGCTTGCCGCAACTAGAGAAAGCCCTCGCACAGAAACGAAGACCCAGCACAGCAAAAATAAATAAATTAATTAAAAAAAACTCTCACATTGATATTCTCCCCTATATACTCTGAGTTAGAGTGATGCCCTGAACCGGCCGTGTATATTCACTCTTCTCTGCCTTATGCATGTATTCTGGTTCTGTTAAATAGCTGGGAATGTTCAAAGCCATTGGATAGGGACGGATGGATGGAAGGGTAGAAAAGTGCATGAATGGTTAAGAGTGGTCAGAAGTACCCACCTCTGTGACGTCTTCCTAGCCATTCATACTAAGGGAATTGCTCCCTTTCGCATCTTCCATTGAATTCATTCATTTATTCAGCAGACATAATGAGCACTTATTATATGTGGTATTGTTCTAGGCCCTCAGATATAGTAGGCAAAAAAAGAGGTAAGGTCTCTGATCCCAAGGAAAGAGACTATCTCAGGGAGATAGATAATACTGCAATCAAATAAGCAAGTAAACAACATAATTCAGATAGTGATAAGTACCATGGATATAATAAAACAGGATGGGCTTCCCTGGTGGCGCAGCGGTTGAGGGTCCACCTGCCGATGCAGGGGACACGGGTTCGTGCCCCGGTCCGGGAAGATCCCACATGCCGCGGAGCGGCTGGGCCCGTGAGCCATGGCCGCTGGGCCTGCGCGTCTGGAGCCTGTGCTCCACAACAGGAGAGGCCACAGCAGTGAGAGGCCCGCGTACCACAAAAAAAATTTTTTTAAAAAAAACAAAAACAGGATGATGTTACAGGGTGAGGAAGAGGTACTTTAAGGAGGGGGAAGGCGTCTCCACAAAGGTGGCCTTTTAGCTGATGCCAGATGAGCAGAAGGAACAAGTTATGTGAAAAGCTGAGTGAAGAGCGTCCAGGCAGAGGGAGAAGCCAGGGAAAGCTCCCGAGGTGGAAACAAGTCTGGCATGTTCCAGAACAGATCCGCTATTTCTCAGACTGGTACCAAGCCACTGGGTATCTCCCATTGTTTGCTGTCTCATAGTTCTGTGTCTTGCTGTCCTAACAAGGCAGAAATATCTGGTCATCGGGCCTGAGACAGTTTACTAACTAGAATCTTCTGGGCTCCATGTTCTCTCTTCCCTCCCGCCTCATCCATGAAATCATACTGTTCAATTTCTGCTAAGGAACTTAAGCCATTTAAACACATGCACTTACCACATACATGAATGCATGGATATACCTAGACATGTGTACACATACAGATGCATGCCGTACACACGTACACACACAGAGGACTTACTAAGCCAGCAGGGCCTACTGGTGGGTAGACTGGAAAGAGAAACAGAGGCACAGAATAGGAACAGGACTCACTTTCTGTCATTCAATGCAGCAGAGATGCATGAAGAAATTTTAGAATCCTGCTTTCCAACCTCAAATATATAATGCCTGCCTCGGCCAAGGCTGGAGAGGGGGAGAAGGAGAAAAGATAGGGTGGAAATAGAGTCAGAAGCAGTTGAAATGATGATTAAGGGTAAGGCTATGCCCCACACCGGTGGAGCCACAGCCGGAAAGTCAGGATACGCAAGAGGCTCTGAAACAGGAGTGCGAAGGGCCAGGAACTTACCTTGGCCTTCAAAGTCGGGTCTGTGAAATGGGCCACAGGGTACTTCTTGCTGTTCATCATGGGCACTTTTATCACAGAGGATCTGCTGTAAAAGCCCTTCATATTTGTTCTGCTGTGGTTAAATGTTGTCTTCCACTTGGCTAGAGGGAAGAGTGGGGGAAGGGTTACTCTAATGCAGGTGGGGAGAGGATGAAGCGGAGTTAAAGGTTCTGTTAGCAAGGGGTGGGACAGGTACCATGGGATCCAGTCGTGGAACTTGGGGTTGAGTGGGTTTTAAGCCAGGAGGAGAAGGTGGAACTCAGGACGGGAAGACACCCTGGTCCAGGGCCCCCTTACCACTCAGGTAGATAGCGTTGAGAAGGACCAGGCGGAAGTCATCGGGCAGGCTGTCTAGCAGTTGCCTGATCTTGTGGTTGGTCTTCTTGGCCACCCAGGCGTTGATGAACTCCAAGTTGACTTTACTGTCATTTGCCAGGGCTTTGGGGCTGTTGCCATACAGGCTCCGAGAGGCATTCGCAAAGGTGTCCCTTATAGCCAGGTCTGGCCCCGGAAGCAGGTTGAGAGAGGGAGGCATGAGATCCCGGAACACTCTCTCCCCTTTCAAGAGCAGGCTTGGAGAGGGGGCTTGTTGCACATCACTCTTTCTGCTCCAAAGGACATACTATGTCGGAGCAGGGGTCCAGCCCAGTTCTCTTACTGATGGGCTCAGTGAGACCCAGAGAAGGCAAATCCTGAGCTAAGAGCCGAAGAACTCATCCCAGGCTTTCACTGCCTCTATCTGCCATGGGACCACGGCTTGGCAAGGTAACTCTTTGAGATCTTAACTTCCATTTGCCTGTATTTTCCCTCTTTTCTTCCCTTAATTCAACAGGGAACAGACTCTGCTTTTCAGCCTCACTGGAAGGTGTGTGACAAGACTTCCTGGGTTTTGCTCTCCAAAGCCCAGGTCCACTAAAGAAAAAAAGTGTTTGAAAGAGAAATTTTTCCTGGACTAAATAGATAATATTGAATGCAGCTGTATTTTCCACCAACCTAGCAAGACAGAGGATACATCTGATTTATAGCAAATAAGTAAATGCAACATTTCTTGAATCCCTCTAAGCCATATTTTTCCCATCTCTAAAAAGAGGGTTTTGGGTTTTTTTTTTAGATAATGGTGTGATAGGTGAGTTTTCTTTCTTTTTTCTTTCCTATATGTTCTCAGGTTATTTTTCTGTTTGTTGTATTTTTTTTTTTTTTGGCCACGCCGAGCGGCATGCGGGATCTTAGTTCCCCGACCAGGGATCGAACCCATGCCCCCTGCAGTGGAAGCACAGAGTCCTAACCACTGGACCACCAGGGAATTCCAATATTTTCTCAGTTTTCTACAATGAATGAGCATTGCTTTTATAGTAAAAAAAAATAAAAGACAGGGAATTTTTTTTCCTTATTCAAAGAGGAAAATCACACTAAATTTGTAATTTTTAAGCTCAGCAGAACTGAGGTTTCAAATATAGTCATGTCTGAAGCCCACAATACAAAAGGGCTCTGGTTGAGGCTGGTGGGAGTTCAAAGCCCACCTGGCTTCATCTCCCTCTCACAGGAAGTGACACCTCACTTCCCACTCAGCCTCCCTAACTCCTTACTCCCACCAGGACTTCTGCAGCAGCTCTGCAGAACCCTAGGGCTCTGGGGAGCAAAATTTGAAAGAACTGCATTAGGTCATTTTGGAAGCTTATTGCTCTGATTACCTACCTAATAATGTAATATACATAAATGACAACAAAGTCACATAACACGAAAGTACAAAGAATAGGAGTCCCAAGACCCCCTGACCCAGATTAACAAACTTTTCTTTTCGGCTTTGCAGCTTGCAGGATCTTAGTTCCCCAACCAGGGATTGAACCCGTGACCACAGCAGTGAAAGACGAGAGTCTTAACCACTGGACCACCAGATTGACATGCATTTTTTGTCTATTTTATGTCTAAAGCTCTCCAGCCCTCTCTATTACTGAATGCAGAAGGCTATTCTTTTTTTTTTTTTTAAAAGAAGATGTTGGGGGTAGGAGTTTATTTATTTATTTATTTATTTTTGCTGTGTTGGGTCTTCGTTTCTGTGCGAGGGCTTTCTCTAGTTGTGGCAAGCGGGGCCACTCTTCATCGCGGCAGAAAGCTATTCTTACTTTAGATGGAGTTGATGAATGCAGATGACTTGTCCAAGGTCTCACCAGGGGACCTATCCAGCTCCCAGGAGACACCTGATATTTCTGAGGCCCCAACCTGCTCTGCATTCCGTCCCCCTGTTCTAGTTCTAACATTCCCTCTGTCCTCTCTTTCCCCAGTGCTGGGTCTCCATCAAAATCCTGAGGACCCAGCTCAGCACCTGCCATCCTTCCCCGGGGAACTCACCTGGGCTGTGGAAGATTTGAGAGACTGTGGTAAAGCCTTTGGACCTGGAGGCCTTCAGGGCCTGGTGGACACAGGTAAAGTCTTCGGGGTAGGAGAGGAGTCGCTCCAGGCTTTCCTTGGTTTCTCCTCTAGCCCCTACAACAAACAGCAGAGACAAGGGGCAACTGCAGGAGGAGTGGAAAACCACCACTGGGGACCAGGGTTGAGGGACCAGGCTGCAATGGGGGGAATCCCATACCATCAGAGCCAGAAGTGTTTGGGAAGATAATACATGTCAGAAAGAGAAGGGTGGGGGAATTATGAATAATCACAGGATTTTCTAGGGCTCTGAATACTTTCTTCCTCCGTTTTCCTACCTAACTTTAATACCACTCATCATCCAAAGCCTGGTCCAATCGCTGCCTGTTCCACATGACCTATTATTTAGTTGGTTCAGGTTTACAAAGGTTCGCCTTATAGGCAGGGACACAAGATCATGGTTAAGAAGAGACGTCAGGAAATCGTAAAGGAGGATGCATGTTCAATACCCTTTCCGTTTTTCATTATTGAATACTTATTGTACACATCTTCTGTGCAGTAATAGATAAAATGTATCGAGCACTTACTTCATTCCAGGCATCATAAGTGCTTCTCCCATATTATCTCATTGAATCTTCACCATAACCCTTTTACGTAAGGACAGTTCCTATCCCCGTTACACAGATGAGAAAACTGAGGTTTAAGAGAGTAAGTAATCTACTCATTTTAAGATCACAGAGTTAATAATTGGAGGATGGAGAAAAGATTCAAGCCATATCTTTTGGGCAATAAAAAAATTAACTGAAACCGATCAGTTGAAATGTGCCTCCCAGGGGACATTTGGCCACATGTGGAGACATTTTGGCTGTCATAACTGGGGGGTGGGGTGCTACTGGCATCCAGTGGGTACAGGCTAGGGATGTTAGGATTCTGGGACTACAGAAGAAAGGTTCTTATGTGCTCACTGTATTGTCTCTAGTAGCCTTCCTGGAATTCCCCCTTGGAGTGACAGCTGTTTCCACTGCCGTAGCACTTTGTTGGTGCCATTCCTAGGGTAATTACCCCAGGGGACTTGATTGTGATCTCTCAGGAAAGCAGACGAATTAACATTTTTTGACCTCCTACCACATCAGGCACTGGGCTATCTGCTTAATTTTTTTTAGGTCACTACAACCATTTCCATTTTACACAGAAGGACTCAGGCTCAGAGAAGTTAACTGATCTGCCCAAGGTCACACAGCTAAGAAGCAGCATTATCATGATTCTACTCTGCATCTCTCTCTTATCATTCATCTTCCTTATGGCCTTACCTGGAACCATGATTGGTGGCTCAGACCTTATTTAATATGTTCTTGTACAGTCCATAGGATTTTATAAGCAATAGTGCCTATTACATCATTGTTAAATGAAAGAATAAATGAAAGTTCCAGAATAAAAAGATTCCCCTCCCTCACCCCCAATGTAGCCCATTTTTACAGCTTCCTTCCAGAGGCATAGATAGCTGTGTATGTATCTGGATACGTACCCTCCTCATGCGAACATCTAACACGTAACCTGGAGAGAACTCAGTCAGGTTCTTACCGAGCAGGACTTGAGTGAGGAGGCTGGCGATGCTGAACGGGGAAAAGACAATGTTGGTCTCCTCCTTCTTCATTACTGAGAAAGTGTGGTAGAGATTCAGGGAGAAATCTGTCAAAGCCTCCCCCAGCACGGCCTCTGCTGAATGACTCTCCAAGTCAGAGCAGGAGGTGACAGGCGCTGGGCAGAAGGACTTAGTAGTGGCCTGGGTTGTTGGTTGGATGGGCTGAGTGGTGGACTGGTTGAAGGGCTGGGTGGTATTGACTGTTTCGATGGTCAAGTTGGTTTTCAGCAGCGTGGAAGAGCCCTCGGTGTCTTTAATGGATACATTGTTGGGAATATCTCCTTTGGGGATATCTCCTTCACTTTCCCCTCCTTGTAAGCTCTCTGGATCCACGGGGCTGATACCAATCAGATTTGAGGAGGCTCTATCCTGTGGTTCAAGAGACTTTCTTTCTTTTATTATGAGGCACAGTCCCCTTCAAACACTCAAAGCAGGAAGAGAATTATTCCTGGGAAAGCCTGGTGGCAGAGGGGCCTGCCCTGGAGCCACCACCAGTAATTCCTTCAGAGAAAGCGTGTATTATCCCATTTCACTGGCAAAGGAAACTGATGCCGAGACAAATTAAGTAACTAGCCCAGGGTCTCAAGGGAAGTGGAAGGAAAAACTAGGAGTCAAACTTGGGTCTGATTCCAGATCCTTGATCACTACCACATCATCTGATACATCTCAAAGGGCACTTCCAGTGTCAACTTCACACACATACACTGAGTGCACACGCCAAAGTTAGGCACCCACCTTTGTCCTGGGCTCATCCCCTATCCCTGACCTCCCAGACCACGGCGGAGAGCCTAGGTCTCGGCAGCCCAACCTCCATTCCGCAGCTCAGTTTTCCTCAACAACCCCTTGCTTTTAATATCGCAACATGCTGCCCATCTCCTTCCCCTCTTTGATCCTTCTGCTTTATTCTCCACTTCGTAAATCAGGACAGGTAGCCTCGGAGAAGTGACTGGCTCAAGGCCAGCGCAGCTGGTACCGTAGCGAGTCAGGATTAGACGCTGCGTGGGTCTGAATCCCCGCTCTTCCCATGCTCGGTACGAACTCCGGCGCTAGGATCACACTTGCTGAGCCCAAGAGGAGCTCTCCTCATTCTCCGGAGCCTGAAGGGTTAATCCTCAGCACCCCCCCTCCCCTCCCCCACCTCACGAAGGGGTCACTCACCCCAGCCAGCAGCAGCAGCAGGAGGGTCAGCGGGGTCAGCCTGGAGGCCATCTGGGCGGCGACGTCAGCCCAGACCTGCAGAGCCAGCCACCGTCGTCGGTGCCAGATCCGAGCCTCGGGCCTAGGGGGCCTCCACCCCGCCCCGCGCCGCCCCACCCCGGGGCCCGCCCCCATTCCATTCGCGGCCCTAACCCCTCTCTGCGAATCCCGCCCCTCCCTCCTCCGTGCCGGGGCCACCTTCTCCCTGGCTCCTCCCCCTGTTTTGTTTTCCCCAAACCGCTTCCCTTTCCCGGCACCGGCTGGCCTTTCCTTTCCCCCCAGGCCCGGGTCTCCGTCCATCTGTTCCATCCAGAGGGTCCTGCTTTAGCTAAACAATGAGGCCAGGGGCCCTGCTAGGAGGGGAGGTCCAGAGGGGGCTGGGCACGACAGCCCTGGGGGAGGAGATGGAGGGGAAGGAGGGGGAGGCAGGGGTCTTAAGAGGAAGCAAGCAAACAGACTGCAGAGATAAAGGGGGGGGCGGGGCACTGTGGAGGAAAAGGAGATGAGGATGAGGAGACCTCCTTCTCCCAACACCCTTCTCCCCAGCACCAAACCTGCGCCAAACTCCCGGTCACTGGGCAGCTTCAGGGCAGACTAAGTGGATAGTCACACAGCGTCGGGGCGGGTGGGGGGGCGGCGTGGGGGCGGGTGTTCGGTCTTAGCTATTGGCTGGCCCAGGACACTGCCCAGTTACAAATTAAGGCTGATTGATCGCTGCTGTGATTTCCCGTAAATCAGGATGGGACGGATACTGATTCGTAAGCCAGGCAGGGAATTTAGCCCAAAGCCCCTTGGGAGCCGGGGGTGGGGAAGCTTGGGTGCAGCTCTCAGCTGTACACGACCAAGCCTCCTCCTGCATCTTTATGGGTCATGATAGAAACAGCACAGACACAACATGTTCTCCACAGTTCACAAGCAACCAGCTTTCCCGGAATTGCTCATCTCAGTGGATCCTCAAAGTAACCCTTTGGAAATAGGCCCGACTGTGCCCATTTGATAGTTAAGAGCCTTAAGTGGCTGGCTCACTCGGAGAGCCCTCACTTGAAAATAAGGCTGGACTGGACGGCCTGAGGTCCTAGCCCCACCCCCACTCTCCTCCATGGGTGTTCTGCTTCTCCTCTTGGAAACCCGGAGTGCTTCCATTCTGTAACAGACAAGGAATCTGAAGCACCCAGTCCAGCGAGCGTTCACCTTAAGTGACGAACACAAAGCTGGGCTATATGTGTTGAGGGTGGGAGAGAGTGGCCTGGGAGCCAACAGACCTGGCTGTGAGACCTGGCTTGCTGTGTGACCCTGGCAAGTTGCTTTCCCTCTCAGCACCTAGCTCCCCTCTCATGGTTGCCAGATAAAATACAGGAAGTCCAGTTACATTTGAATTTCAGATAAACGAAAAAAAGTTTATTTGGAAGTATGCCCCACACAATATGGGGCCTACTTATACTAAAAAAAATAGTTTTTGGTCTTTTATCTGAAATTCAGATTTAACTAGACATTCTGTGTCTTATTTGCTAAATCTGGCAACCCTACCTCTGCAAAACAAGGTGGTCTTTGATGACCTGATACAGCTCTGATGTTCTATGATCACCTCACTGCTGGGCCTGTCCTATTTGGCACATTCTGGAAAGTTGGCTGCTAGCGCCAGAACTGCTACTCTAAGGGGTTGACCAAGGACAGAAACGAGAGAGAATATTTGTGTGGTTCCTTGGGGGTGGGGAGGGGTGTCTTTGGAAAAGACAAAGACACCAGCTTTGCAGGTACTTCATTCCCTGCAACCACTGGGGAACCTCCAAAGTCATGGGGAAGTTCCTTCACATCAGTGCCATGGTTGAAACAGCTGCGCACACAGTGCCACTTCTCCATCCCCAGCGCCCAAGGTGGGGCCTTCGAACTTGTGGGTCAACCAAACAAAAAGAAGATGATGGAAATCAACCTCATTCATCCTTTCATTAATTCTCATGACACCAGTGAAGTGGGTGCTAATATTAATCCCACCTGAAATCAAATTTTTAAAATATGAGGCTCAGCAGAAATTATTTGGTTCATCCAACATCACACAGCTAGTAAGTGACAGAGCCAGGATGTGGACCACGTCCCTCTGAGCCCGAAATCCTGTATTAACAGGATTTATATATGGCCTCCTGGCACGTGCCAGGAGCTAGCCTAAAGCCAGCAGCAGAGTGAACATCCTGTGTCCGGCTGCAGGACTGTGGT